CCTCAGTGCAGCCTCTGATGAAGCGTCAGTGTGTTTTCGCGCCTGGTTTTTAAACTCTGGGGTCCGTTGAGATGAATTGCCTCAATTCTGGTTTTCCTTCGTAGTGGAATGTATATGGAGTCGAGTTTAATGTGTTTATTAATACCATGCTTCGTGGAGTGCCATGCTTCTAGGAATTCTCGTGCCTGTCTCTGCCTAGCCTGTTCCAGGATCTTGGTCTTGTCCCAGTCGAAGTGGTGGTTTTCCTTGACCATGTGGATTGAGATGAGTGAATATTGGTCGTGTCTTTTTTTTGTAGCCAGTTGGTGTTCATGTACTCTTGTACATGTACTCTGTTCACCAGAGAAGAGGAGAAGAATAAACAGCTCCCATTCCTGGACGTCATGGTAGAGTGCAAGACAAATGGGGAACTGCAAACAAAAGTACACCGAAAAGCCACACACACAGACCAGGTACTGAACTTCAACAGTAACCATCCCAGCACACATAAACGAAGCTGCGTGCGAACACTATTTAAAAGGGCAACAACACACTGCAGCAACACGGAACTACGCCCGGAAGAAGAAGAATACCTCTTCCAGGTTTTTAAGCATAATGGATATCCAAAGAATTGGGTCAGAAATTGCCTACATGAACAACATCAGAAAGAGACTACACGCCCCGACACACTCATCACACTAGCCTATATCAGAAACACATCAGAACTCACCACAAGACTCCTACGACCGCTGGACATCAGAGTGGCCACACAAGCCCACGTCAACCCTACGACAACTGCTCACCCGAACTAAGGACCCACTCCCCGCCATGGACAGGACCAGTGTCATCTACAAGATTCCCTGCAGAGACTGCAAGAAACACTACATCGGACAAACAGGAAGGAAAGTAACAACAAGAGTACATGAACACCAACTGGCCACAAAAAGACACGACCAATACTCACTCATCTCAATCCACATGGACAAGGAGAACCACCATTTCGACTGGGACAACACCAAGATCCTGGGACAGGCTGGCTGAGACTGGCACGAGAATTCCTAGAAGCATGGCACTCCACGAAGCATGCTATTAATAAACACATTGAACTCAACCCCATATACATTCCGCTACAAAGGAAAACTGGAACTGAGGCAATCCATCTCAATGGACCCCAGAGTTTAAAAACCAGGCAGGAAAACACACCGACGCTTCATCGGAGGCTGCACTGAAGCTGTTACCAAGCATGGTAACAAAATGTCTGCGAAACAAAAAACCAGCTCGGCAAGCCAACCAACCTCAACAGGTACATAAGATGCTAAAGATCTGTACAGAGACGAAATGGCTTTATTGAGCTTTATCCTGAGCAACTCAGTGATGCAGGACTCAGAAATCTAAGGGCTGTTCTCAGAGACACACACACAGAAAAACATTTATTGCTGCTAGAGGACTATCAACTTGATAAAAGACATTTTTATTAGAGTCATAGAGTCATACAGCACAGAAACAGACCCTTCATTTCAACTCATCCACGTGACCAAGTTTCCCAAACTAAATTAATCTATATCCTTCTAAACCTTTCCTATTCATGTACCTGTCCATATGTCTTTTAAATGTTGTAACTGCTCCTGCATCTACCACTTCCTGTGGCTGTTCATTCCATATATGAACCACCCTAAATGTGAAGATGTTACCCCTTAGGTCCCTTTTAAATCTTTACTTCAAACTTGCTGGTCTTCCAATGCAAAGAGTTGTCCTTAACCAGGTTTTGCACACTGGCACATTCCAAAAGTCCAGGACTACATGTTGAAGGATGCACCGAAGCTTGGCTCAGCTGCGATTGAGGTGCAAAATGGAAAGGCCACTGTGTAAAGGCCTTTGAGCTATAATGTTCTGAGAATCTGATGACTCATGGAATGCTTGGGTTGTATGCTTGTCACTGGTGTAAAGACTTTTTTTTATTTTTCCGTGTTTTAACTAATGATTGAAATGAGAAAAGAACTGTTTTGAAAGATAACTGGATGTTTTTGAATGCAATGACTCGATACGTACTGAAGGCACTGCCCCAAAGTCTAGTTCAAACAGTAGTAGGAGAAGGTGCAGACTAGCTGGAACCAAGGATTTGTATAAATGGAGATTCAGCTGGCATCAGCTATGTGATTGGTTTGTGGATTAGTGATCAATTATTGATGATAAAGGCCTTCTGAATGCCAAAAACTAAGTGATTGGTTCTCAAATAACTGAATAGGTTGGGGCAGTGAACAATTTAGGGAAAAGCCATCAACCTCCACCAGCTCTTTCTGTTCTCTGCAGTTAAGCCTGCAGAAGTTTAACCTTGAAGAAAACCAGTTTATTTTTCCATTCAGTGGTTGCTGTAATCTGTAATTTTAAATATCTTCTAGTTATTCATACAACGTGGGTGTTACTAACTGGGCACGCTCGTCCCTAATTTCCCAGACAGCAGTTAACAATCAATCATAATTCAATGGATCTGGAGTCACATGTAGGCTAGACTAGGTGAGAATGACTCATTTCCTTCCCTAAAGGAGATTAGAGAACCAGATTGGTCTTTAATGACAATAGATAATGTTTACATGGTCATCATTAGGGTTGCTCTTTACAGTCAAACAGCATGGAAGCAGACTCTTTGGTCCAACCAATCCATGCCGAACATAAACCCAAACTAAATTAGTCCCAACTGCCTGTTCCTGGCCCATATCCCTCCAAACGTTTCCTATTCATGTACTTATCCAAGTGTCTTTTAAATGTTGCAATTGTACCCACATCCACTATATCTCAGGAAGTTTATTCCACACCCTGTGGGTAAAAAATTTGCCCCAAAGTCTTTTTTAAATCTCTCTCATCTCACCTTAAAAATGTGCCCTCTAGGGCAGCATGGTGGCTCAGTGATAAGCACTGCTACCTCACAGTACCAGGGACCCAGGTTTGATTCCATCCTTGGGCAACTGTCTGCTTGGATTTCCTCTGGGTGCTCTGGTTTCCTCCCACAGTCCAAAGATGTGCAGGTTAGGTGGATTGGCCATGGGAAATGCAGAGTTATAGGGATAGGGATAGGGATACGGATAGGGTGGCGGGGTGGGTCTGGGTGGGATGCTCTTCAGAGTGTCAGTGCGGACTCAATGGGCTGAATAGCCTGCATCCACATGGTAGGGATTCTATAATTCTTGAAATCCCCCATCCTAGGGAAAAGACAACTACCATTAACTCTATCTATACCCCTCATTATTTTATAAACTTCTTTTATTCCAGAGTTTTTAAAATTGAATTCAACTCTTTATCATGTGCAATGGTGGGATTTGAACCAATGTCACCAGAAAATTAGCCTGAGGTTCTGTATTGATAGCCTAATGATATTACCACTGTGCCTTAGCCTCTCCTAAATAACTAGTAAGTAATTCATAGATCTTTTGAAAAAAGTGAACCTGTTACAGTGTGTTCTGCGAACAGTGAAAGCTTCCACAGAAGGAACACAGAGAAGCAGCAGAGATAACAAGGTGTAGAGTAGGATGAACACAGCAGGCCAAGCAGTATCAGAGGAGCAGGAAAGCTGATGTTTCAGGCCTAGACCCTTCTTCAGAAAACTATCACAGAGAAGCAGCATCCTGATTAGCACAAGAATCAACACAGTAGATCAATCAAATAACTCTCCTTTTCCCTCTGTCCATTGCACACTTTTTTTTCTGAATGTGTCTGCCTTTTTGTGTGCCTAAGAGGGAGTTTATTAGGGGGTTAGATATTTAACTAGGGTTATATGATTATAGTTAATAATTGTTCACCTGTAGCTGGAGTCTATTTACTTGCAATAAATTGTAATTATTTTTAATTACAGAAACATGATCTGTGCTTTCTGTCAACCTGGGTCTAAAAAGACAGGTAAGTTGTGGAATTCTGCATACTTCTATAAAATCTTTTCTGACATGACTCTGGGAACAGTAGAGCTTGATTTTCAGTGCATTACCCCTGTGAGGTGTAATGCAAAATGCGTAAATGTCATGTGTATTGGAATTGGATTGAGGCACTTAAACGTCTTCAAAGAAGAAAAGTTGAATTTTATTCCATCTTCCATGATATCCAATTTGAAATCTTTTGGAATTGTTTTTAGACATTTGATGAATGCAGTATATTTCAGCAGCAAAGGAAAATGCGATTTCGAAAAGGGTTGTTTTGTTGTATAGCATGCGATAATTTTCTTCGTCTGGAAGATTAATTGCTCAGATCTATACCCATCACTCTAACCATGCACCATGAGGAGAGGCAACGGCCTGGTGGTATTATTGCTGGACTGTTAATCCCAAGACCCAGATAATGTTCTGGGGTCCTAGGTTCAAATCCCACCACAACAGATGGTGAAACACAGCATTCATAGGGAAAGAAACAAGTTTCTTTTCCACAATGGAATGAACTGCCAGATGGAGGCTGGTGCAGTTACAAAATTTAAAAGGTAACTGAAATAGAAAGGTATGATGACAAATGCGATGAGGTTAATTTAGGACATTTGGTCAGCACGGACGAGTTGGACCTAAGGGTCTGTTTCCATTCTGCACATCTCGATGACTCCATAACTGAGCAGAGCTGCTGCCAGACATGCTGAGTTTCTCCATCTTTTCCGTTTTTACTATAGCCTAGGGTTGCTTACAGTTTTTTATGTTTATAGAAAGAGACTGGATGATTGGGTTTTTCCTCATGAAAAGATTGCTGGTCTTTTTACTATTAACATTTTGAAGTGATGCTGGAAGAATTCGAAGCTTGAACATAACTAATGGGAGACAATGACTTTGTTGCGGACTTCAACCCCATTGAATACTAAGCCTCCAACTTTGTGACTATGATCTCCGCGCATGCGTCCCGAAGGCAGCAGTGTGTGTGTGTGTGTCCGTCCGTCCATCAGGAAGTGATGTCAGACGCACCGGAAATAGACCGCCGGGGTTGCAGAGCGACGGTTTGCAGAGGTTTGAAGCGGAGCGGCTGGCTGGGTAAATACGGGTGGGTTCTTCTTCTGTTTACCCGACAGGAAGGATTGAATTGAACTGAACTGGACTGGACTGGAATGGAAAGGAAAGGAAACGAAACAAAACAAAACAGGGGTTGGGGGATACGGGGAAGGTGGCTGGAGCCCCGCTCGCAGCGCCGGTTGTGGCAGCAGCGCTCGGCTTTGTTTGTGAGGGGTTGCACGACTCCCCCCGCGTTGACTCCTGGCCATTTCGAACGGCCTCTGTAGTGGAAACTACAACCAAAGAAATGATGAGTGCTGCACTCGGCCTCTTATCGCCCCTGTTCGCCGCAAAATAGGTCATCATGCGTTTTCCACGTTGGTATATTTAAAAATTTGCATGCAATTTAGCCGAATTTTAAATGATGAAATAAAAACATCTATTTTTGATATGTTGTAGATTTCACCCTGAAGCATGAGTGATGCAGATAAAATTCTTCAAGCTGTCTCAGATGGAAATGCCGTCGCTGAAAGTGATGCAGACCAAATGCCTGCCGCTGAGCTCGGAATGGAGATTGCAGAAAAAGATTCAAGTGAACTCCAACATCACGACATCGGTAATGAAAGACATGTAGCCAAAAGCCCCGAAAACCAGTCGCAAATTCAAATCGAGAGTGGGCTAGATGAAGTAATGGATGAAATAGACCGTGATCAAACTCAACCGAACAGTAGACATGGTGAAGATGAGAGTAGCACAGATAAAGTCCAACCTGAAACTGAAAATGCTGGAAACAAAATAAATGATGCTGGGCACCAGGCCCTTCTTCAGGAGAACAGTGATCTGCAAGGTATAGAAGTCCAATCTTGCATTAACAGCTCGGAAAAAGATGAAACCCAGAATGATACAGGGCACGTTGAAAATGAGCCTACTGATGGAGATGAAGTTCGGTTGGAGTTAGATCAAATTAAAAATCAGTCCACCAGTGGAGAGCATGATGATGCTCCAATTGAGGTAGATCAAGTTGGAGGTCAGTTTACCAGCAGTGAACAAGATCTGACTCGGAATGAGTCAGACCAGAATCAAACTAGTAATGATAAAATAAAGAGTGGCACAAGACCAGCAAAACTTCCTAATGATGGTAGAACAGCAGCAGCTAAGACTGGCATGGGCAAAATCAAATCAAAGCTAACTGGTGGAAGAACCGGAAGAACAGGTGTACTTGCTGGAAAGAGAATTCCAGCTTGTATTGGGAGAAAGAAAAAGCTTGCCATAAAAATTTCCAGAAAAATGGGTAAAACCAGCAGTGACCTCTCACATGCTAAGAGTGCCTCAGGCCAAGCTCAGACTAAGAGTATACTTGCCAAGCCCAAATCCCAAGCAAAGAATGCTGAAAAAGGAAGTTTAAATGTTGTGGAAGCAGATAAAGTTCAGCCTCAACTGACTGATGGGAAAGAACCTTTGACTGTTGGAAACATTGCAAATGACACAAAAGAACCTGATAATGAGGCGACAGACATGTCAAATAAAGACCAGTTGCAAGCTAACACAGATGAAACATGGTCACTTGAGAGTACAGAGTTGTCTGCCAGTGGAGAGCTCCCTGAAAGTGGTGGATTTCTTCGTAGCAAAGAGGGCAAACCTGTGACTATGTTTTGGTGTGATGTAAGTATTTAAACCCTTACAAGGAGAGCTGTTTGATATTTTGCTTTATTCAGTGGTTAATATCTTGATTCGATAAACCTAAACTACCACATGTTGGATTAAAATGTTATATCTGAACTTATTTGTCAACGAAAGCAGATAATGCTGACAATGGTAAATGAATTATGAATGTTAATACTTCTAAGGGTTCTGCCAACTACTGTATACTTCCTTCGTGCATTAGAGCATTCAAAATGCATCACCTTGCATTTGTTCGATGTCAGAAGTCACGCAACACTAGGTTATAGTCCAACAGGTTTATTTGAAATCAAACAAGCTTTTGGAGCGCAACCCCTTCATTGGGTGTGTTGAGAGAGCAGAGCACACAGACCCAGAGTTTATAGACAGAGAGGTCAATAGATCATACAAATGATGTGAATGGAGTCTCAATTGGTAAGTCTCTGCGTGTGACCAGGAGTGTTAGACGGTGAATAAAGTGTCAACAGCTAAATGACCAGTGAAGCGGTGACCTATAATCTGATTTAGTGAGGCAGAGAGATAATTACAAAAAACTAAAACTAAGGTGGTGCTGGAGACAAACTAAATAGTTTAGACCAAGGGTCTAAATTGGCATTTGACTGTTATACCTATTATGTTATTCCAGTCATTTGGTTTGTCTCCAGTACCACCTTATTTTTAATTTTTTGTAATTATCTCTCTGCCTCAACCGTGGTCATGGGTTCATGTTGCACTACAGGTGACTCCACCATACTGTTGTATCTAAAATCTTCCTTACTATCCTGTTTCAACAGCATCACCTTGATAAATTATGATCTCTCTTATCTTAATTAGTTTGTACAGTTTTGAATTCGGCATGCGATTCCAGTATTTAGTTTGTCTCTGGCGCCACTTCATCCCTTCACTGGTTATTCAGTTGTTGATACTTTACTCAGCATCTAACAGTCTTTGGTCACCTGCGAGACTTATCGTCTGACAATCGACTCACCAGTTGTATGATCTTTTGATCTCTTTGCCTATAAACCCTGGATATGTGTGCTCTGCCCTTTCACTGCACCTAACGAAGGAGCTGTGCTCCGAAAGCTTGTGCGATTCAAAAAAGAAAACCAATGCATTGCACGAGAAAAAAGTCAAGTCTATTTGTATGTATATATGATTAAACTCCAGGTTAGACGTAAACAGCAAAACAAAGTTTAAACCTGTTACTCGGCAATTTTTATCACAGGTACTCAGTCCTAACAAAGTGGGTCTCCTGTCCTAACTCTTCAATTTCTTACTCCACTGACACTTTCCAGGTTTGATGTCTTAGAGATGCCTTTCCAGTTCTGATAACATAACGTCTTTGATTCTGAAAGCTTGAAAACTTATACGTAGACTGCCTCAGCTAGGCAACTTCACAATCTAAAACCCTCATATTGGGGTGAAATTGTTCTGAACTGAACAACTTAATTCTTCAGAACTGAACTGAAAAAGTAATAGTGCCTGGTCTGTTTTCTTTGTAGGTCATTAAAAGTTCAACTTTTGTAAAGACTTAGTAATTTAGCACCATAGAGATCCTATGAGGCACTAACTAAGCCACATGTTTCTTGGAAATATATCTAGAACAGTTTTCCAAATGACTTTCCAACATCTTTTAAAATAATTTACTTCACAGAATCAGATGCCAATGGGCTTTGGATTATGTAAAAAAATTCAAAATACCAAATCAACATGTATAATATACCTTTAAACCAAGTAACCATAGAATTAGAACAGATTTATAATCCTCTAATTTTCCTGTGTAATTATTATGCTTAAGTGAGTCAAAACCCTCCAAAATTTAAACTCTAAGGCATTCTTTTGTAGGATTTCAGGTGCAGGATAATTTGCCCCAAGAAAATTTTAATTTCCCAGGGAATTCTTGTGTTTTGGATTTCCACGTTGTCCTGATGTGCAACCACAGTGTACCTTCCAGAAGCTACTATCTGATGTTTGGAATTATTGAACCAACAATGAAGAATGTCAAAAACTTCGAAGTCCTGGTATAAACAAATATCCAATAATCTTGTTTGAATGTTAACTGTTGTGATAGAATTACATTGTTACATATACTAATTCATTTTACGGCTTTGATGCTCATTTATAGATACTGTAGAAGTGATTGAGTCGTGTAACTCTTTTTAAAGAAAATCTTGATCTAAAGCATTATATTTGTTACATGTTTCTAAATTTAATTTTTTCTAAGTTCCTCTTTAAACTGAGTCATATATGAAGAATGAAATAAGTCCATCCTATCTTGGACTCCTTGCATGATGCAGTGTTAAGTCAAGGGAGTTTGAAACATGCAACTATACTGCAGAATTCATAATCGAAAGTTATCTATGTATCTTTATAAACTGAATATAATTGGAGTCAACTGTTTTGTACGGTTTAGTTTGAAGTGAAGTTGCAACTATTTCAAAGCCTTGACATGGTCGATCATTGTCCTTGATCAGACTGCTAACTGTATAAACCAAATATGAATCAGTGAAAATTAACAAGTATGGAAGAAGTTAAAAGGCCAGCTAGCCCATTGAACCTATCCTATACTGTCACAGGAAATATGTAGTTACTCATTGAGCCAAGGATGAAACTTCCCTTCAGCTTTTATTTGAAATTGGAACTCAGAAACTCTAAGCTTGATTTGCTTTTTCCAAAAAAAAGATTCTGTCAACTAAGTGCTATCTAAATGTTAGGTTGTTGCACCCCACTGCCTCTGGTACAAAATCAGAATGAATCAGTGCAGTTTGTCTCTATTTCCCACTTTTTCTTCATAATTTGGCTTTGTGTATTTTAGTTTTAACTTACAATCTGAGTTTAAATCTTTTGCCTTTCAGTTAATTTTTTTTGAACACTAACCTTTTAAACTGAATATAATTGGGATCAACTGTTTTGTACAGTTTAGTTTGAAGTTGCAACTATTCAAAGCCTAATAGTACTGTTGAGATTTTTTTTTATTTTAAAGATGGTCTATTTGTAAAAGTTTTATAATCTAATGATATTTTCATGCATAAAGGTTTAATTTTATATTAATTTATCATATAAATTTACCATTGTGTTTCAAAAAGTCTATTTTTATTCTAGATTTGCAAGGTAGTTTGTACATCTGCTCTGAATCTCCAGATGCATTTCCTTGGTTTTAAACACAAAAAGGTATGAAGTTTCAGTGACTTTCATTAAACAGTGCCATCTCTTTTAAAATAATGAGAACTTTGTTCCTAAGTTTCAGCATTAAATGTGCTCTTAGAAAATGTTAGTTCATCACTAATGTTACATTTTCAGATACAGTGAAACCTTGATTGTCCACATGGTAATTGTCTGTTTTCTTGATCATTTGTAAGAATCATGATGGGAGTTTATATTTGATAAACTTAGGTCAGAGCACCATTGAATGTTGGGCTACCCGTAAATCTATTAAAAATGGACATCTCATTTGGGTACACAGGTCATGTTCTTGGATTTAAATTAGTACAAAGTAAACCTGTTGATAGCAAATATCTGATTTTGGTTTTTCCAGATTGTAATAATTTAGTCACCTTATTTTGAAAGTCTTCATTGTTTTGAAGAAACTTTACAGCAATGAAGTGATTTTACTGATGTGTGTGAATATAAATCAAACTTTTCCAATGTAATGACAAATGAGATGATCAACTAACAGTTGCCAGTATTTTGTAGAATAGTCGGAGTTAAAAAAAATTGAAGTGCTTGGGACTCTGATCTGGCAGGTTCTGTTATCCAGCAGTGAATTTCCCCTCTGTGTTTATGGGCATGATTAAGGTTTCATTGTCCTTGATGTGCCATACATTTCTATAAATTGAATGATTCTTGCATTTTGCTATAGTCACGTTAACTGAATTTATTCTGAATATATTACTCTAAATTTCCTAGTTTTGTTGTTTACTTTAGGAATTCTTCAGACCAAGGGTTTTTTTTGGTGTTTATACAGTCCTGAGACTAAGATGACTGGTACACAATTACAACAGAGAGAGAGATCTTTTTAAATTCTTGGAGACAAAACTGTGCAACAAAAGTTAACATCTTGAAAAAAATAATTGATTTGTGTCATTTCTAAGTGGCTGCTACTGCTTGATATCCTAGACAGACCAGCACGTAGGCTTACAGTGAGGCATGTTCAGCTACTTTGAAACTCAGGATTGACAAAAATTCCAAACAATTATTTGGCAGTACTGCGCATTGATCTATGCTGAATTTTGGAAAGAGTTTTTGAACATTTAGAAATGTGGCTCAGGTTTGAGAATTTAGCTTCCTTTTGAAGAAGTATTCCATTGATGACTCACCTCTACGATACAAATTGAAAGAGAATACTGCACTTTTAAAATCTTCAATCATAAAATCGTAAATACATCTAGTTGATTAAAAACTGAGTGATTGCAACACATACTGAATTTTCTTTCTCTTTGAGTTTATTTTACTATGTAACCATAACGGGTGTGTGTTATATAAGTTGTTGGCCTTTATATGCTTGTGACAGGATTAGTGCACTTTTTTGATTTACATTACAGCCAAGTCCAAATCTCATTGAATCCATAGAACCTATGTTCATTTCCTAAATCAGATGAATTATGTTGTTGTAATTCAGATGATTTGCAGATAAATTATTATGGGGCTAAAATTTTGCCACTGTTTTGGCTGTTATTAACTTCAGATTTTTAATGTAAAGTTTCTTTAATTGTTGTTAGCTAGTTGACTCAAAGTAACTTCTGACTCTACACACAAGTGGAATAGTCCATTATTTTGATCTCCAGATGTTCTTCTAAAGCATTTAGAACATCATTCAACAGTCCTTTAATTGTTTTTTTGCTGATTTGCATAAGGTAGTTACATTTAATTGAATGATGTCACTAAGAATTTCTTGGAAGTATGTTTCAAGACTAGAACCTAACTTTCAAGTTTAGATGATTGTAGCTCTTTCTTTAACTCTATGTTCTTCAACTTGAAAAAAAAATTACAGTTTTGTAATGTGCTGGACTTCAACCATCAAAATATGTTTTATGCATTTCATTGCCATGAAGAATGGCCATTTCACTGAAGTGTGTTTTGGTAGAAGCACCATCTATATCACGTCTTAAATTGATAGGCGTGAAGAAATTGGATCACGGTTTCCAGAAAGCAACGGGACACCCACATTTAAACCCCATTCCTGACAGATACTTGCACTCAGACTTCCATACACAGCTTCCTGTCTTCGTTGAATTCTCAGTTGAAAGAGTGAGAACCTGCTGAAAGTTTTTTTTCCTGCATCCTTGATCTGCCTTTTAGTTGGTAGTCAAGGAGCAGTGATAAAAACATTGTGAAGATCTTCATGGGTACACCCCTTCCAACAACAGTGCATATTATGGACTTTGTAGGGAGGGAGAAAAGAAGATGAACCACTTGACTGTCTTCAACAAATAGAAGACTGGATTTTCCTTGATGTACATCAACCGCCTGTCTCAGCAGCCCTAATTATTAATGAGAGGTAATTAATATGAGAGGATGACCTGGGTTGCTGAGCTACAAAACATAGTTGGCTGGGCTCTGAATTTTTTGCATCCTTGACCTCATTCAGTAGACTAAAATAAACTGATACAGAAAATCGTTAAAACCCTGAATTGTATACCTTGGTGGAGCAATATTGAGGTTTTCCAGTGGAAGATGTGTTTTAGAGCTCGCATATTAGTACACATATAAAAATATTGCGGTGTAGATTGCAGTTTTTGATAGTTACTGCAGAAAATAACTTGTTTATTTTAGAATTTATCCGGATTTCACACCATGAAATCTATTACCCGGGTGGCTGTATGAACTTTATATTAAGTATTTTGAATGAAATGTTAAAGTTATCACTCTACTATTATTACAAAACAACTGTGAACATGAGCTATTTTTCTCATCAGAGCAGTTGAATCCTATACAGTTGTAAATGTCCATGGCTATTCTAAGGAATTGGATCTGTGGCCAATTTAATCCTCCTGTGCAATCTTGCATTTTTCAAGAACAGCCAAAGGGTTACCTTATTTTAAGCAAACCGTGAAATGTGGCCTTCAGAACAAAATTTGCCTTAATACATTTTAATGAAATGTTTCAGTTTTTATGTCCCAACAGAAACAATCTCGCTAACTTTTTCTGTTCCTTTTCCTGGTTGATTCTCTCCAAACATCATTATGGCAGATTGAAGCAGCTTTAAAATGGAATGGTAAGTATTTCAGGATTCCTTGTGAATCTGTTCCCATCTCTACAGATGTTACTACATGTAAATTCTTCATGCTGTTTTGATGTTTAATTTCCACTGTAGTGCTTATTCAAACTATGAACATGCATAACTTTTGTTTCGATAGTTCTGAGAATACTTTTTGATTTATGCTTGGCAACAATCAAAAGTGCAGTAATTAGGACATCGAGATTTTCTTGCATTTGACTGAAAGATTGCACCAAATTTAATTTTCCAAAAGAATCTTGGTCTTTTTTGTGAGGACTTTAAATTTGCAATCTTCCATGCAAAGTCTATATTAATCAAGATGTAAAGCTATGTTGCCATGAGTAGTTTTAACATTTCAAGAATTTAAAATTAATATTGACTTGCAGTTGCATTAAAAAGGGCAGGTTTTTAAACTTTCTCAATTGAAATTTTTGTTTCTCTATTCCAAAATTGATGGAAATTTCTATGACAAATGTACAGTGGCAACTTATAAGATTGTTCATTATTGTTTAATTTCTGAAGATAAATATAAATTAATCAGTTTTGTCATTATAATTGCTGAAATGTTATTGTTGGCTTCAAAATTAATACAGTTCTCAAAAGTGTCATCAATGTAACTTGTAACTGACTAGCATTACCAAATACATTTTTTTAAAGAAACAAGGCCAGGTTTAACTCTGACAGGTGCTGGTTAACAGAATATGATTTATTACTTCTGAAAGGATTCATAAAATGATGAATCTGATGCTAATCAATATGGATATTTTCATGGTGGAGCTATTCAGATGACTACCCTCCTTGGAGTTAGGAGATGGTATGGTGGCATGACACTGAGTGGGGTCCAGGATTGTGACTTCAGATGACTCATCAGACAACGTTTTCTTTCCTAAACTCTGAAACTAAACCCAGCTGTCTCATCTACTCTCACTCCTGATGCACCAAAGCTAATCAAACAAACTCCAATATATCAATTACTAGTGCCTTGTATTGTTTGGAGTTGGGTTTTGATGGCCAAGCTCATCTTGTATCCGTCAACTGTCTTAGGTAAAGAACTGCAGCGGCATCCAAACTGAAGTGGGTGTTCCATCAATGGCGAGCACAAATGTTGACTTCATGTGGTTGAAGCTAAACTTATTTGGGTTTCTATGGTGAACTAAACAATTAAGAAGCCTAAAATATCAATTCAGGTTATCTTGGTTTCACCGAAGTGGAATTCCCTTTGTGAGGCATCATCTTGAGGAGTTTTGGATGCAATATCATGCTTGGGATAGCTTAGAACTGTCTAAGCTGTTACCACTGGTACTGCATCCAATACCTTCCCTCGAAGATCAGAGCACAAGGGAATATATTGGTGCTTTTTAATGAAAGATGATCACGCCTTCAACTTCTGCAGCAAAAGTTATGCAAGCATAAACAGCATCGTCATCTAATGGCATCAGTATCGTAATTGGGCACAATTTCCAGTACCTTCATTAATTGTTTAATGAAGTAATGTGCCTGAAGAAGTGGATATGAACTCCTGCAACTCATGGTGAATTGTGCTTCGAACTGTGTTGCCTTAGAAGGAGTTCCTGACACCAACTCAGCGTCTATCCAGGGCTTGAACTCCTCTTGTCAGTAGTTTAATAACCACTTATTGAGGGAAGGGACACGCGGCGGTAAACATTATCTCTCAGACAGTGCTTCAGAATGTCATGTCTGGTGATGAGGGATTGGAATCTAGTCAATCTTTTATGGTAGACTATGTAACCAATCCTTGAATCAGGAAGATTTACAGCACAATAGATGACTCACTAGACAGCCTGGCACATTGAAGACACTTGGAGGAATAAAATTGGGGCCTATGACTTTTCACATTCATTTCCAGGGAGCTCTGCAAATCAGTGCCCACATTGTTGAGCACTCGCTGATGTGGACAACAAGCAACAAGCTTACCAGAACTTGTGGTAAACTGTGAAGGGTTAGCTGTTTTTGTATGAGTAATACTGTTGCACACTCAGGAGGTTTTAAACTTGGTTTTACGAACCCATGTCTAATTCGTCTTCCTGTAATAGGTGAATTGTAACCATTTGGAGAGAGTTGTACTTAATATCAGGCAAACTGTATTTCTTCTTGCGGTAGTTTCTTGGTTTGGAAGCCCCTATGTGTGGTGACTGATTCTGCGTGATCCAGTGTCTGGCTGATCAAAAATGAAAAGGTATTAAGTTTTGCACAGGTTTTAGACCTGACAAAGATCTTGTCAGAATCTTTACAAAGCTTGTGCTGACTTAAGCACATCAAGTATGCTGTGTGTGGTCTATTAATAATTTTCTTTTTACTCCTTCCTCCCAGCTACCAACTAGGCCTGCTTTTCTTTTCGGGGGTGAGCGGGGTGGGGGAGTGAGTGAGCGAGCAGGATATTTTTCAAATAATTTTCCTTATTTTAAGGTACTGTAAATATTGGCTGTTAAATACCCTTGTAATCTGAAAAGTTGCACGCTGAAAAATAACGACAAATTTACCAAAAAAAAAACAAAAAATCGCAGAAGCTGGAAATCTGAAACAAAAGCAGAAATGGCATGACAAACTCAGAAGGTCTGGCAACACCTGTAGCTAACAGGTCATTGACCTTGAAACATTAACTCTACAGATCTCTCTACAGATGCTGTTAGACCTCAGTTTTTATAGTACTTTGTTTTTGTTCAAGTTTACCCAATTTACTTACCTTTTAAAATTAGAATCCTTCACCCTTTTTTTTTTGTAAAGGAGCTTTGTATTAGAGGCTAGAAATTTTGGAAGACAGATGAAGGTCATAAATTGCTACAGCTCTTGAGTTAGTCCAGGACAGAATTGTTATGATAATAAACTTAAGATGAAGAATTTAGATGATGTAACACTTTGATTTGAAGACACTTTTTTGAAATTGCCTTCCCAATGCAGCAATGACTTAATTTTGTCTCTTGCTTTTGAAAAGTCATAATATGTTGCTGATCAATACAAGTACAGATATGATGTTCAAACGTAACAGCAAATCAATATGTATAAGATTCTTAGATTCATTTTAACAAATGTGCTTACAAAGGTAAAATCAAGATAGCAGGATGTGACTATTCTCTTACAGAACAGAATAAGCCATAAACAAAAACAGAAATTGCTGGAAAAGCTGAGCCGGTCTGGCAGCGTCTGTGAAGAGAAATCAGAGTTAAGATTTCAGGTCAGATGACCCTTCCTTTGATCTGAGCAAGGGTCACCAGACCTGAAACGTTAACTCTGATTTCTCTTCTTAGATGCTGCCAGACCTGCTGAGCTTTTCCATCAATTTCTGTTTTTGTTTCTGATTTATACAGCATCTGCAATTCTTTCAGTTTTTAGAATAGGCATTTGGGCATTGCTGGCTAGGCTAGCATTTATTGTCTATCCCTGTCTGCCCAGTGGGAAGTTATGAGTCAATCCCATTGTTGTGGGTATGGAGTCACATTTAGGCTAGACCAGGTAAGGAAGGCAGTTTTTTCCCTGAGGGGCATTAGTGAACCAGATGGGTTTTTATGACTATTGGCAATAGTTACGTGGTTGCCCTGAGGCTAGCTTTTTTTTTTCCTTATTCCAGATTTTTATTGAATTCAAATTCCATCATTTTCCATGGTGGAACCCATGTTCCCAATGGGGTTCTGGGTTACTGGTCAAGAGACATTCAGTGCCCCACCACCTCCCCCTTTGCTAAGGGTATTTGGAAAGAATCGGAAATAGTAGAATTCATCAGTATCCTGAATTTTCAACACAAGAAAAGCATATATTTCCTAGATACTACAAATTAGCACAAGACAACAGGCATAAGTGAGCAAAGGATCTTTTCAAAGTAACTGCATACTTACCCTAAAAAAACTATTGCCCCAAATATACGTACTGCAAGCTGGTGATGTTTTTATTATATGTTCACAAAATTGAATAGTTTAAACAAGCAGTTACTACCCAATTTTTTTTAAACTTCATTTTGGTTTTCATTTTCAATTTGACAGCCAATACAATAGTGTCCACTGCAGTCTTCTCCATAGTATTGCTCCTGAACGTGAGCCTTTAAGCTCAAGATATCGCAGTCATTTGAAAGTCATTCATTACTTCAGTGATTTCCCATTTTTTGTACTTTTCTAGTTCTTTTTACAGGTAGTTCCTTTGTTGACAGGTTTGAAATACCCCCATATTCCTTGCAACCTCTTTCTTTCTTCTCTGGCCTCCATAGCCTCTTTGTGCTCTCTCATTTTCCTAAACCCTAATGGAATCTCTGATTCTCGCCGCTGCTTCTAGAATCAGCAGGCAGATGGCTGCCTGAACAAAGAGGTGGGTGTCTACCTCCATTCCTGGTCTAAACTAAAAATCTGCTACTGACTCTGGCTCTACTCGGCAAACCGGCAACTGGTTCCTGATCCTGGCCCTTGGCCCCTTGCTCACGGATCAGTATGGTTTACCCAAAGTTTAGTCACAAGTTTAGGAATGTTCAGCAAAGAGAATTTTATATGCCTATATTTTTGTTACTTTAAGGATTTATTAGTGTTAACATCTAAAGTTATTTATGTTGTTAGGTAACTTGTGGGATTTTGGATTTTATCTGCAAAAATGCTATGGTTGTAAGAAACTTTCTGATACCTATTTCTAGTTATTTTGGGAGATCTGTTGTCGCTACTTATTGATGTCTTGAGGCTGTAAGTAATATATGTCTTATAATCAAACATACTGATACATGCATAAATTTCTCAGACTCCATGTCAAATGCATAGAAATTTTTAATATGTTTGGAAAACATAATACCAGTGTTCTAATAATTGAGTGTGGTCATCTAATGAGTAACCGCACCATACAGACTGAAGGAGATATTAGTGGTGGTTAGAGGTTTAGGTACAGGCCTACAGTGTGGAAGGGGGTTGGATGAATTTGGGAAGGAAATTCAAGTATGAGGTATGATGCTATAGATACAAAGATGGGTGTATAATGAGCTTGACTTAGGAATGGAGGATTTGCAAAAC